CTCATTTATGTTGTTTACATAGGCGGATCCAGGGGGGCCCGGGGGAGGGGGGGGGGGGGCGGGGGCCGGGCCCCCCCTTTTGTGGGAAAAATTTGGTTGATTATATAGGGAATCACTGAAGCATGACTGGAGCGGGCCCCCCCCCCCCCCCCCCTTTTAGGTCAGTCAGCGCCCCCCCCCCCCCCCCCCCCTTATGAAAAGTTCTGGATCCGCCACTGGTTTACAATTGGTTATGAGAATGCTGCAGGAGCATCTGAGAAAATTTGACAAGTAATTAAAGTTTGTCTCCACCCAGCATTAAATTAAGGAATTACATTTTTTTTTAAAGATTAGAAAATCAAAAGCTGAAAAGGTAAAAAATTAACTTGCATTCAATTCATAAAATGCTGTGAAAAATTATGTACTGAAAAGTTTTGGAATGACTCTTGACATCATTTAGATAAAATCTTGGAAGGTTTAGGAAAAATCGAAATGGAAAAAAATTGATTGAATAATGAAGTTATAAGGTTTTAGTTCTGAGCTATTTGTTGATTGGCTGTACTTAACTGTATGTCTTTGGTTTTCAAATACAAATATGAACATCCATCCTAGTACAAGCTAATGTTAACAGATGCACAAAGATAGTACTTAGATAGTGACAGACTGTCAAAACATTGAATTTAGCGTCTGCTGACAGGGGCATGTGCAGACTTGGGGTGGGGAAAACAACAGTACATATTATAATGTTGATATGTCAATTCGTCCAATGTGTAATCGTCCCATACTGAATATTACTGTTTTTCCTTATAAACTTGGCAACAGTTATTATTTGGATCATACAATTTTCACCTAAACACACAAAAATAATGCAAAGAGAGACTGTAGAAGGTTTTGTAGAGAAAAAAATCTAAATTTTTTTTATTTTTCTTATGGGTGTTAGCCAAATTGATAGAAGATTTTGTAAATTTCAAACAGTCAAATTCAATAAAAGTTTGTGATTTTCAAGGTTTATAAACAGAAAATTTTCAGCATTTTTGTAGGAATTAAAAGATACTTTTATTTTCTGGCAAAGTTTGAAAATAAATGTGATATCTGAGCTGGCCAAAATTTTCGACTTTTTCAATAATTTAAACCATTTATTTACATTCAGGCTACAAATACTACCATGACATTTCATATGTACTTTAACATTTGTTTCTAGTACACGTTTTAACAGTCATGTGTATTCCTAGTGAGAACTTGCTCAAAAACACACAGTAATATATGCCTTATAGTGGTTTCGACCGTTTTGTAAGGTACCCCAAAACTGGTCATATTCAATATTTTGGGGTTACCATGGCCTACCCCCTTAATAATAGGGTTCGTGTTGCTCAGTCTTTAGTTTTCTATGTTGTGTTTTGTATACTGTTGTTTGTCTTTTGGTCTTTTCTTTTTTGCCATAACGTTGTCGGTTTATTTTCGACTTATGTTTAAATGTCCCTTTGACATCTTTCGCCTCTCTTTTAACAAGGTAGTCATGAAAATTATATAGAAAATATTCATGTTGAAGAAAACGTTGTTGTTAACAATTAACCAAAGAGATAATAGCGAAGATCAAAATTGAGTTTTAAATAGCCGTAGGAAAATATTAATGAGTACTATAAAAGAATATTTAATGACACATTATGTAAAATAACAAATTGAGGTTTTTTACACATTTTTGTCCCGCCTGCGACGAAAGTCGCGGAAAGCGAGACATAGGGATTGCTTTTCCGGCGACGGCGACGGCTGCGGCGGTGGTGGCGTCAACAATTGTTAAGTTTTCTGCTTAATTAATTTTAATAGGAACTACTTGTGATAGATCACTGATACTTAATACATTACTATCAATACATATCAGTTAGACGACTATTTCGAGGCCCTGCCCCCTAGGTCATGGTCCAGCAACTTTGAATTAAATAGCAATGTTCAATGTTAAGTTTTCTGCTTAAGTTAGTTTGATAGGAACTACTTGTGATACATCATTGATATTTAATATGAAGTTGCATTACTATCAGTACATATCAGTTTGACGAGTATTTTGAAGCCCTGTCCCCTAAGTCATGGTCCAGTGACTTTGAATTAATAAGCAATTTTCAATGTTAAGTTTTCTGCTTAAGTTAGTTTGATAGGATCTACTTGTGATAGATCAATTATACTTTGTATAAAGGTGCTTTACTATCAGTTCATATCAGTTTGACGACTGTTTTGAGGTCCTGGCCCCTAGGACATGGTCTAGTGACTTTGAATTAATAAGCAATTTCAATGTTAAGTTTTCTTCTTGAGTAAGTTTGATAGGTTGTGATAAATCAATGACTTTTTGTATGAAGTTGCATTACTATCAGTACATAACAGTTTGTCGACCATTTCTAGGCCCTGCCCTTTAGGCCATGGTCCAGTGGCTTTAAATTAATTAGCAATTTTCAATGTTAAGTTTTCTGCTTAAGTCAGTTTGATAAGAACTACTTGTGACAGATCAATGATATTTTGTATAAAGTTGCATTACTATCAGTACATTTCAGTGTGTCAACCATTTCTAGGCCCTGCCCCCTAGGCCATGGTCCAGTGACTTTAAATTAATTAGCAATTTTAATTGTTAAGTTTTCTGCTTAAGTTAGATTGATAGGAACTACTGGTGATAGATCAATGATATTTTGTGTGAAGTTGCATTGCTGTCAGTACTTATCAGTTTGACGACTATTTTGTGGCCCTGCCCCCTAGGCCATGGTTCAGTGACTTTGAATTGATTAGCAATTTTAAATGATAAGTTTTCTGCTTAAGTTAGTTTGATATGAACTACTTGCGTTGATCAATGATATTTTCTATAAAGTTGCATTACTGTCTGTACGTCTCAGTTTGTCAACCAAATCGAGGCCCTACACACTAGTTCGTCCAGCGACTTTGCATTAATTAGCAATGTTGCTGTCCATCAGATTGTTTTTTTCTGAATTTATGCCGACAGGCAAGACTTTATCTGTGTCAACAGTTTTTTGTCTTGCTCAACGTTTTTTTTTTTCTAGTTAGTGTTTGTTGACTGTGTCCTTTTTTTTTTATTTCCCCCATGTTGTGGGATTGTAGCCTGTGTATAGGGGAACAATATAGCATGCCCTTATGAATTTGTTTTTCTTAATGTTATCTTCTTTTAAATATGCTTTAATAGACATTAAAGTAAAAAATAACTTTAGTCTTGTTTGAATGCATTTTGACGTCCTTTAGATATGTATGTTTTTGTGTTGTGATATGAAGTAAATATTTTTAATTATTGTAATAGTGATTTAAACTGGTGAAAAAGACTAGAGTTCTAATATTTTCAATTATTTTATCAAGAATAGACTTTAAATTGGTGCTTTCCAATTTCACATGAACTGCATATATTCCAGGTGAAGAATGGTACTAATTTATCAATTGAAATTGCTCTGAATTATTGTTTATAAAATGACAGAAAATATTGGAATTTGAAGACCAAGTTTTCATTATGTTTCGAATTAAATTTTAATCTGAATCTTATTTAAGTAGCATTTATTAGATATTAAAGCTAAAACAGATACGAATTTTCCTAAAAAAATGTGAAAATGAAAAAATAAAACACTTATTTAACATTTTTTATAATGACTGTGGATAGTACGACAGCTGAGTACAGAGAATATTTTTTTTTCTTCTTATTGATACAAATTTTAAGAAATTTTCAAATGAGTGTAATACATGTAAAAATTCTTTGATAATTGAAAAATCATTTTTTCAAGATCTTTCTTTATAAATTCACATAAATTGATGTCCTTGATTATTGTATCAAAATTCCTGGCAAATGAACTCCTCTTGTTGGTTTAAAATAAATTGACATTTCGTTGTTAGGTCACCTGGCCCAAAGGATCATGTGAACTTTTCCCATCACTTGGTGTCTGTCGTCCTCCATTGTCCCTTAACTTTTACAAAAATCTTCTTCTCTGAAAGGAATTGGCCAATTGAAACTTGAAACTTTACCACAGTCTTCCTTTTTTTGGGGTATCTAGGTTTTAAAAAAATGTGTCCGATTATCACGCCTGCCAACCAAAATTGCTACCCAAGGCTAAATATAGAAATTATGATTTTTTTTTTTTTTTTTATTTAAGGCACATCTTATTTTTATTGAGATTATGGGTCTATTGACTTTGAATGTTTTGTTTAGTTTATTTGTTAAAGGAGTATATCCAGTAACCCCAATAGGCTGTTTTTTCGAAACTTCGATCAATTGTTTGAGTAAATCTTTTGTACATGTATTGCTAAATGTATTATCTTTGAAAGTATAAGAAGCAATGTTTCATTTCATTTCACTCCATTTTTCTAGATATTTGTCAACTTTATCGACCTGTTTTCATGATTTCATATTTGGCGCCACACCGCGCCCATTGAAATTTTGGTTGAAAAGTAAAGAATATGGTATATAATGAATATTCTATTAAAAATGTGTGTGGGCGAAGGATGGCACCACCTTTAACTTTTCAGAAAACTGTTATCAACTTTGCACAAAATGAGGTTTTGCATAAATTCACCTACATTTATGACGTCAGAAATACATCATTAGGTTTTTAAATGAACAACTCGGATATTTTTGAATGTTTTCATAGACTTTTCACAAAATTATCGTGTTTAATTTTTTTTATAGATTTTTAGGGCCAAAATTACGCGTGAGTGACCAACTCCTTTGTGTTTTAACGGGAGCCATTTATAATAAGTCAATGGTATTTGCTATGCAGTTTTATAAGCATTTTACCATTAGTTTAACCCATGTTATATAAAGTTACGGCAAATTAGAAACACACTTTGTGAATCATTTGTTATTAATTTAAGAAAAAAGATCAAGTGCACCCAATTCATTCATTTCTTCAACGAAAATTTCTCATTGAGATACTATAGTCATTAAAGGTACACCTTTCACTTGAATTCTGAGCTATTATGTTTGAATGCAGTCTTGATTTACTCTTATATACTTAAAACATAATTCCATTTTTTTCTAATTATTTCAGCCTGATGAATATTGACAACACTTCTGAAGATGAAGACGTTCAGGTGCATTCAAGAAATCAATATTGTTAAAGTCTATAACAATCCTTACTTAATGACATATAATGGACATTGTTTAATACCAAGAGTGCCAATGAAAATATGAATATTATGATTATAAACACTTGCATTCAGTTTTTTTTATATTCAAATTGTAAAAGTAGAAGTTCACATAGTTTCTTATTGAGGAGTTCTTGTCATTTTAATAAGATATTCTTTTTAATTATTTTTCTTTTTGTGCGTGGGAGAATTGATGAGAACTGTCACCAAGCCATAAGGAACTTAAACACATTTTGCCACCTTTGGGTTGTTTAAAAGTGTATGAATTTAAAGGTAATGTAAAGCAACTAACATAGATAAATATAAAGAGTCCAAGAAAACCAATTCATTGAATACTTCCTCGAATTGATTATTGAATTTGTCAGTTCTTATCGAAATTTCAAAGAACTACAATATTTTAACAAGATATTTTCTATTTTCTCCAAATATTTTTTTTATATTAAATACAAAGCAACAATTTTGCTTCATCAGAACAATATTAATTAACCCTATGCGAGATAGGTTACTTCTTGAATAGTTTTCCTTTTATAGCTGAATTTTTTAACACATATCAAAGTTCATTTTGTGTCAAATTTTATAGATTTTACATTGACCCAATTTATTACCATATGCTGTTGTTGTTTGACGTAACTGATCTTCTAATTCAGAGACACTCAAAACTGAGATAACATATTCTTGTTCTTTCATACATACTTTTTCAAATGAAGAAAAGATTGTAGAAGAATATGTTTCAACAACAGCTGAACTGAAAGCTGCGTTTGACATTATTAGATTCAATATTACTCCAGAAACCTTGCAAATATTTGCATCCAGCTAAATGTTCCACTACAGATGCTTCTGTTCTTTTAATTAGTCATCTAGTCTTCTTACAACTGTTAAGAAACTCATCAACATATTTTCTAAAAAAGCTCATTTAAAAGTAATGTTAATTATTTCGTATTTAACAAATTATTTGGAAGTCTTTGATAAGCAATCAGAGGCTGATATAGGATGGGCAGGGGGGGCTCGCCTCCTTCCCTTATCGAGCTACATATATGATAAATGCATAGACTTTTTACAAGTATCACTCTAAACGTTCGCTTGCCAGCTTATTTTAAGCTACAATGTATTTCTCGGTCAGTTTAATGTTATTCCAGACTCCAGCTAATATACACATTTACCTTGTATTTTTCTGACATAAAAATATGTTACACGTATATATGGCAAATTGAAAGATAGTCACAGTTAATACACAGTAGTGAAAAAGAAATAAATCGAATGTCTTTTTATCAAGCTTGAAAATCTTGTTGATTGATATTGTATCTGAAGAAACTTTCAGATGGTTGATGACGACATGAATATTAAAATTAATTTAGTTACACAAGGAACATATAAAAGTTGGAAAAATTTCTTCAACATGACATTTTAAAAATTTGTTCTGGTGATTCAACCACCAGTATTTGTTGTTGTATTATGTTATGTTATATTAATTTATATTTTGTTATGTTATATTATATTTTATTTTATATATAATAATATATTATATTACATATTGTATTCCAAAAGAATAATTGCACAAATATTAAGGAATGGTTCCCTTGCGATGCATCATTTTGCAGTTGTAAGGTGCACAGTATGATATATTGCTAGGAGCAATGTTGAACCATGGAAGTAATGTATTGAAAGGAACATAACAACAACCAGACTCCATACGTTTCAACTGCGATGATTCTTGCCAATTAAATTACAGGTTAATTAACTTGAAATCTGGTATGTTATTAACTCGCCATCATGTGGTGAATTCTTAAAATTGAAACGTTTTGGTTGTTTCCATGATTACAGTGGGTAAGGTATAAAGTATTTAAAATGCCAATCCAAAAAATAAATATAAATAATTCTTATATGATTTGCATATTAGGGAATACGTTGATATGATTGGTTGAGAGAACTTCCGGTAGTTGTTCTTGACGTTGTTTATTTTTCGATAGACGACGTTGACCGAAATTCTTTTCGTAACCAATGTAAACAAGATGGCGGCGATAATGACACAATCCGGATCGACGTTAACAAAATTTATTTTCACTTCGCTTTAATCGTTAAATTAAATAATAAACACAAAACATTCGTTTGAATGATGATAAGAGTTTTTGTAGTTTATTTTTTATCGGATTGCAAATTTCATGGAGTACATACTTTCAAAGTTTGCGTTAACCAACAAATATATTCATGCGCCAGGCCTATTCAATGCACAAATATACAATTTACGTGTGATAGAGGTTACAAGTGTGGAAAAATAAATTCCTTATCTCCAATTTTAAAGAATTATAAGGATTAGACGCCTTTTTAAAGGAATTTATTGGTGTATAAACTTGACCAATTCACTCACAAACAAATAAAAGTCCTTCCTTTAAAAAGGCGTTTAATCCTATAACCTTGGCCTTTGACATCAATACATATTCTATTATTTGGCTAATGAATCTGTGTATTCACATCATAAAGGTAACAAATTAAAAGATGATATACTGCAGCTGTGCTATTTGCGCAGTCAAATTGCTTTGACCGTATAATCATTTGTGACTGACCGTATATCGCCTTGTTTATGACGTTGACAATGCGTTTCCGTAGAGTTTTATTTATGACGTCATTAAAAGTACAGGTTCGCGGAATTTTTACGTCGTTTGGTCCAAATTCCAAAATGATGGTTTTTACCCTAAATATTTCATTTGGAACAGTTGTAGGAGTTGCAGTATATAAAAAATAACCATAAATTGTCTCGAAATATAAATTTTATTTGTATTCGGTTCAAAACAGGATAGAAATGCTCGGCAGATCCTCGCTTTCTACCTGTTTCTAAGCCTTGCACAAATAAAATTTATATTTCGAGACAATGTATGGTTATTCTATATTCAATTGTTTATAGAAAGAATATGCAGTAGGAGATGTGAAGGCCAACAACAAATGTCATATTTAACATTGATAGCTATATATATATGTTATATAAATAAAAATTGGGAAACAAAATTTTGATATTATAACACATACAAAAATCTTCTTCGTCAAATTATTCATTCCTTCAATACTATACTGGTAATGTGTTGATAATAATTATTCATACGCCAACAAATGTGGACACAGATCATTGTGGATAGTATGTTTGGATATTTGACAGTGTTTTCTGACAAAAAAAAGTTTTCTATGTTTTTTTTCCATATGGTTCTATGTTTTAACAGCCTGAAAACCAGATCAGTACCAAACACTAAAAATTAGCAGTGATTTTTTTTCAATATGGTTTTAATGTTCAAGACTGTCATGGAGGATATGGGATGTAAGGAATCTATAGGTTACCAAATGATTATTAAAAGAAGTTCAACAACTTTGCTTTTGGATAAAAACAAAAACTCAAAATTAGTAGAGGAACACATTAGGTGCATCTCTGCATGCTGTGATTTAATATGCAAGATGATTTCTGAGAACCTTTATGTATGCTCTTCTCGTATGGTTCTATGTATGTGCCATTGTGGTGGTCATTTCTTACTTTGAACTGTAAATTAGTAAAGAATCATCCCAGTATCATTAGTGAAAGATTTAAAAATTGTTTAAATGTTCGAAATTGTTTCTTAGAAGATTTCGTATAGTTCTAAGTGATGACAATACCTGGCATGACGCATGGGGCTAGTTGAGCTAGAAAGTACACTTCTGTTGTGTTACACATGTTTTTTAATGAGCCCAATGCAAAGCACTTTTATAATACACTTAGCTAGAGAGCTCAATCCAGTGATATACTTTGTTTTACTGGCCCTTCATGAACACTGCTAACAAACATGCAATACCACAAGGTCCTAAAAAAGGCATGTCAATTAATTATATTATATGTAAATAATATGCATATGTATATAAAACTTATACAAAGTTATGGTAAAAATAGTCAGTACATAGCAAGTATTTATTGCTACATGCAAAAATAAATATAAATAAATAAATAAATATATGTTGAGTGCCCGTCTCTTGAAATATTAAAGAACAAACTTCAACCTTATCATAGAAAACAGGTGAACAAACACTACAACTAAAAAATGTTTTCAGTGTATTTACCATCCCAACAGAATATTCAATATATTTATATATTAGTACATGTATTTATATCAGTGTGAAATTGTGCTAAAAAGTTGTATCTTGTTTATGAATTTATATTCTGAAAATATTATACACTGCTGTATAGCTGTATCATGTATGCAAGTTTTTGGCACCTACAGGTTGCACTTTGTAAATACAGCTGTTCATAGATATTTTGTTTTGTTTACCTACTGGTTCCCAGAAATGATCTCCATGTTTCATATCATAGAGACACAACTTGGGAATTTTACCAGTATGAATACTGTTGGATAGCGGACAAATTGAATTATCAGGAAGATGATTACCAGTATGAATACTGTTGGATAGCGGACAAATGATTTATCAGGAAGACTCAAAATAAAGGAGGGCTAGTATAGAATTTCAGTATAAGTTTAAATCTAAGAAAATCAAGGCATTTAAATGTTGAAAATATGTCGCACAACCCTGTTTTAACCTTGCAAAAGTAGTAGTGCATGTGAACTCTCCATTCCAGAATATGATTTTTTACGAAGCTTCATAGTAAAAATGGCACAGTTTTAGCCGTAAAAGGAGTTCCTATGGGAAATTGCATTGTATATATTTACAGAAGTGCAACCTATATTGGGTGAAAAAAGAGAACATGTAGAATTTTACCAAATCATGTTTATCTTCAGATATTTAATGAAATTAATCCAAATATAAAGTTTAATCCATATTTCATTAAGATTGAGTAAAATCTGGGCCCTGCATAAATCATCAGTAAAAATTATGCACAGTTTACTTAAAGCCCCGTATGAAAAATAATTTCATGAAATATGCATATTTATACTTTAGATTGTTAAGAAGTGCTTATATTTACTCTTCGCAGTCATTGAAATGAATTGATGTTTGAAGAAAATTGTTGTAGGGTGTTTTGTCCTGTCGAAAACTCATAAGTAAGCAGTAACGCCTGAGTGTGCTTTCTTGTGAGCGTAGCATCAATTAATTCAAGCTAGATATATGAAAATGTCTCTCTAAACCTTTACATAATGTCTTCTCTCCTAAAAATATAAGTAACTTTCCATTTGCACAGAAATAGCAGATTTCTTAAACAAATTTGAGGTCCCAGGGGCAAAAAGTAGAGAAAAATCCTTAACCCAAGGGTCATAAAACAGATAATTTAACCTTTATAGGGAGTGATTTTATTATTATAAATTTCTTTTGCATAGAAATCAATAAACTTGCTTTGAAGTTATGCACAGATTTAACAGTCAGTTCTATAAAACTTTATATGAATTTATATATCAAACTGGTAACTTCATAAATACAGCTGTTGCAAAAATGGCTTTGTTTAAACCCTTCTAGCTCATTTATTAGCCAAATTATGTTAAATATATTATGATTAGAGTTGATAACATTGTGACAAGATTTTTTAACTAACCGATTTAGGCAGAAATTGTTTACTTTTAAAGATAAATGGGCATACATTAAGATCTGGACTGGAGACAGTGGCAGGATTGGATACTTTATATAATCTTGAGTGCTAGAATGAATAATTATTAAAATTTACATTTATAGTATTCTGAAATGGTTTCAATTGGTTATCTGAGTAGTATTATACAGATTCTAGGCATTTCATATCACAAAACATGCACGTAGGGCAGGCTGACAATAATTAGCCTTGTTTTCAAATTATTTAAAAATTGAAACTGAGGTGGGCGTTTTAAATGTACTATAAAACAAAATTAGAGTATATGCAGTGATTTCATTTAGGCTATGATTCTGATAAATAAATATTGTTGTGATTAAGAGTGTTTTTACAAATTTTTCTATTTTAATAAATGTTACCGTAGGTTGCACTTTGTAAATACAGCTGATTCACAAACCACGCCTCTTTTTGGGAGATGTTTAATATTCATTGATATTTTGTTTTGTTTACCTACTGGATCCCAGATATGATCTCCATGGTTAATATCATAGAGACACAACTTGGGAATTTTATCAGTATGGATACTGTTGGATAGCGGACAAATTGGATTATCAGGAAGCCTCAAAGTTAAGGGAGGGGTAGTACAAAATTTTAGTATAAGTTTTAACTCTTAGAAGCTTAAGGCATATACATGTTGAACATTTGCAGCATAACCCTATGTTTTGACCTTGCAAAAAATAGAAGTGCATATAAACTTTCCATTTCAGGATATGATTTTTTACAAAACTTCATAGTAAATGTGGCGCAGTTTTAGCCGTAAAAGGAGTCATATGGGAAATTGCATTGTCTATATTTACAGAAGTGCAACCGACATCAATATTTATAGGAGCAAAATATTTTCCCGTGGATAAATATATATACATGTATAAACGAGGCTGGTGTTGACAAGTGGACTACATCTAGGCATAGGTATCATACATGTCCAGTTCAAAATGTTGTGTTTACATTGCGATATTAACAATGTTTACAGTAGTTGTCGTCTGTTTATGTAGTTCATACGTGTTTCTCGTTTCTCGTTTTTATATAGATTAGACCGTTGGTTTTTCCGTTTGAATGGCTTTACACTAGTAATTTTTTGGGGCCCTTTATAGCTTGCTGTTCGGTGTGAGCCAATGCTCCGTGTTGAAGGCCGTACCTTGACCTTTAATGGTTTACTTTTATAAATTGTAACTTGGATGGAGAGTTGTCTCATTGGCACTCATACATGTACCACATCTTCCTATATCTATTTACACGATATCGTGTCAACATCGTTTACATTGTAACAACTCTTATATACTGTTTACATTGTTGACATCCTTAACATCGCGACATTTACAATATATTATCAAAATCGTGTTTACATCGTTTACATTGCAGTGTTCACGATATCGTGTCAACACCATTTATATTGTATGAACTCTTAAATGGTGTTGACATCGTTTACATCGTTAACTTCGTGATATTTACAATGTATTAACGATATCGTGTTTACATCGTTTACATTTATGACTAATTATAGGAGGTATTGCCAATTAAAGGCGACTTTCCTCGTTAATTTTTTCAATTATTGCTTATCAAACAATTTTATAAAATTTTTAAAAGTGTAAACAAAAATTTATTATTTTTGGCAGTAAACTTTTTCATGAATATATTTTAATTAAACGAATTTCATTTTTTTTTTTTTTAGTTTCTTATGTACAATTTTTTTTACAGATAAATAGCAAATGAACACAATCAAATTCATAAGTATTACAAAATAAACGAAATAATTATTCATTCAAACCATTCAATTCATGATTATTGAAGGTATTGTCATTAACATAAGCTTAGCTAGGGGACTAACACTTGGATTGTTTTCTATTTCTTACAAGACGATGGGAACGATGTTAACACAAAGTGTGTGTATTGACTCGGTGAACAATATAAACACGATGTTGACACGATATTGTCATCATCGCAATGTTGACAATGTGAACAATATAAAAACAAAGGAAAAGACCCGGTATACAATATAAACATGAAGTTGACACGATATTGTCAACATCGCGATGTCTACGACGTAAACGATGTAAACAGAAAGGTAAAGACTCGATATACATTAATAATTCTTATATGATTTGCATATTAGGGAATACGTTGATATGATTGGTCGAGAGGACTTCCGGTAGTTGTTCTTGACGTTGATAAACAAGATGGCGGCGATAAACTTTTACTAGTACAAAATTAAAGGAAACTGAAATTTTTAAATTAAAACTCATTTCTGTTGGAGAGGTGTGTTCACAACTAAAACACCTTTATATCAATAAATCCGCAGGTTAAGATGGAATTGGTCCAAAACTTTTAAAGCTAAGTGCAGAGATAATATCGCCATCACTAACTTTTCTAATAAACAAAAGTATAACGTCGAATCGTTTTCCGCAAAAATTTAAACTTGCAAGAGTAACTGCCATACATAAAGGAGGACCAACAGATATTCCCTCCAATTATCGTCCAATTTCTATTTTAAATACCATATCTAAAGTTTTTGAGAGACATGTATGTAAACAGTTAAATGCATTCTTAAATAATAAAAAATTGTTACATATCGCTCAGTCAGGTTTCAGGCAAGGTCATTCATGTCAAACAGCGCTGACTAAACTAATTGATGAATGGTTAAAATATTTAGACAATGGAGAAATAGTTGGTACTGTGTTTTTAGATTTCAGTAAGGCTTTTGACCTTATTAACCATGCCATATTTTTAGAAAAGTTAAAATTTTATCATATCGGAGAACATTCGATAGATTGGATAAAATCATATTTGTCTGAGAGACAACAAGAAGTTCAATACGCTAACATTAAATCTGATAAATCGTTTGTAAAATATGGAGTGCCTCAAGGTTCTATTTTAGGTCCTCTGTTATTTTTAATTTATATAAATGATTTACCACTTCATGTTAAACAATCCGATATGGATTTATATGCTGATGATTCAACATTGCATTTTCATAATAAAAACATTGAAAAAATAAACAGCATATTGCAAAATGATTTAAATGCTATACAATCTTGATGTAACAATAACAGTATGAAAATTAATGCACAAAAAACAAAGTGTATGAAATTGGGTTCAAAACAAAAACTTACATAACTATCAGAATTATGTATTACCGTCAATGAAACATGTATTGAAAATGTCCATTCTTTCAAATTACTTGGAATTGACATTGATGAAAATTTAAGCTGGGAGGATCATGTTGATCGTATATGCAAGATTATCTCATCTAAAATATCACTTTTGTTTAAAATTAAAGTATATTTGCCTATACACACAAGACAACTATTTTATAATGCATATATTCTACCATATATAGACTATTGTAGTTCAGTTTGGGGAATTTTATTACAAAAAGATTCAGATAGAATCATAAAACTTCAAAAAAGAGTAGCAAGAATTGTACTTGAATGCGATATTTCTGTTCCATCAAATTTCATGTTTTCATCTTTAAAATGGATATCTTTTACAAAACGAATAAAATACCAACAATCAATTCTAATGTATAAAATTGTAAATGGACTAACACCTGATTACTTAACAATGCTAAATATTAATGATGTGCAACACCACAACTTACGATCTGTCTCTAATAATGATCTATTTGTTCCAAGACCAAACACAAATTTTTATAAAAAATCTTTTCATTATTCTGCAACAAAGGTATGGAATAATTTACCACTCAAAATAAAAAATTGTCGAAATGTGGAATTATTTAAGAAACATCATTTTCTTGAAAATTCTATGCAAGTCGAATAATTTGTTTTCTTTCTTTTATTGTAAGAATAAGAAAATTTAATCAAAACTTTACCAAATATTGCCATTTATTGCCATTTGTATGTTTGAATGATTGAATTGTGTATATACTAGTAATATATATTGTATTTTAATGTATGAATCGAATGTATGAATGTTAACTGTATACATGTATTTTGTTTGAGGGCCTCAATGAAAATTAGACTACTTCTAATTGAGTTACCCTCTTTAAATAAAGAATTTATTATTTATTATTTTTTATCAGATAGCAAATTTCATGGAGAACATATTTTTTGCGTTAACCAACAAATATATTCATGCGCCAAGCCAATTCAATGACACAAATATACAATTTACGTGTGATAGAGGTTACGAGTGTGGAAAAATAAATTCCTTATCTCTAATTTTAAAGAATTGTAAGGATTACACGCCTTTTTAAAGGAATTTATTGGTGTATAAACTGGACCAAGTCACTCACAAACATATCATAAAAGTCCTCCTTCGGACTTTTATTTGTTTGTGAGTGACTTGGTCGAGTTTATACACCAATAAATTCGTTTAAAAAGGCGTGTAATCCTATATAAACACGATGTTGACGATGTGAAAGATGTAAACACAAAGTTAAAGACTCGGTATATATTATAATCACGATGTTGGTTAGCTATTGTTAACATCGCGATGTAAACACAAAGGTAAAGACTCGGTAATAAGTATTAACACAATGTTGACACGATATTATCAACATCGCGATGTCTACGATGTAAACGATGTAAACAGAAAGGTATAGATTCGGTATACAATATAAACACGATGTTGAATCGCTATTGTCAACATCGTAATGTCTATTATGTAAACAATGTAAACACAAGGTATAGATACAATACAATGACACTATACAGTAGACATCGCGATGTTGACAATATCGGTAAAACATCGTGTACTGGACATACTTCAAAGGTCTAGGCAATTTTATCCTAAAAACAGCAGATAATTGTACAATTGAGGCCTACATGCATAATATTTGTTTTTGGGTGTTGCTTTCTATCCTATTTTCAAGACTCATAATTCAGTAGTGTAGCTACCATTGTTACTCCAACGTACTTGCATACAAAAACAAAAGGCTGAATTTTTTTTTAAGATAGATAATATAGATGAGAGGAAGGCGTATTGATGATTTTATCCCGACTTTTTCGTATTTTACTTTGAACAGTAAAACATGTTGTGTCAATAAATGTATTCTCATTTTTGGAGAAAACATTCCAACGAAATGAATGCATCAGAAGCAGCACCTTATCTGTTTAACTCTCCCATTATAGAGTCAATGTCTCGTGACAGTACTCCTAAAGAAACTCAAACTATTCATAGTAACTCATCAGATTCAACAAAAAGTGCAAGTTCTGTGAATTGCACTCCAAACTATCCTAATATTGTAGAACTTTCAATAGAAGACATGATGAAAAGAGGATTTCCCTTTTCCTGTTTTTTAAATTTTAACTATAAAAAGATTAGAGGGGTAATATATGTGACCTGGTAGAGTAAACCCGTGTGAATTAACTTGTCATGTGTACAATAATGTCTTGACTTAATTTAAGAAAAAACAACTAAAATACAATTTAATCATTATCTAAACTCAATAGGAATAACAGAGCCAAGCAAATTAAAACAGTGCAGTTGCTGAAGCAGACACATACTTTTCTGTCGATACAAAATAAAAAATATCCTTGCTTTTCATGCTTTTATTACATTATTTAATGAATAATTTATTTTCGAAAAGACTGTCAAACATAGATAAATGTAAATTATTATGTAAATATGCTTTTATTATACCTTAGAGTGGGGATATATTGCATTCACCTTGTCCGTCTGTGGGGTTGACCGTTGTCGAAAAAATATTTCCGTCAAACTTGTTCATATATGTCGTTAGGTTGCATTATAATTGCTTGTGTATATCAAATATCATTTTATTAACATTCACATATATTATTATTTTGTATATTCTAACCAATTTGATTCGTTCAGAAAAAGTAATGTGTAACATTCAACTGTAGACTAAAAATAGAAATCTAAAAACATCAATACTTTGTGACATAGCTGTATCAGCCAATCAAATGAGTTTCTGTTCTATATCTAGGGTATTGACAATAATAATATAACGATTGTAGCCTTTGTATCAGGTGTCTATCACAGGCACTTGTCTCTGAAAAAAAATAACTATATACTTTAACAGGGGCTGATCCAGGGGGGGGGGGGGGGGGGGTCCGGGGGTTGGAACCCCCTTTTTTGACGATCAATGCTTTTGAATGGGGACATACGAGTATGGTTGGAACCCCCTTTTAAAGATGGCTTGATCCGCCCCTGTTTAATATAACACAAGGTACCTAACTCACACATTTGCAAATGTCATCCGGTCGCGAACTTCCGTTATATTTCGATTCTGCGGTTGTCTATCCCATTGAAACGTGTTATGTCGTAAATCTACACTAAATTATCTACAAAATGGTGTATAACACGCCTTTTTCTAATGTCGGAATCATTCGTAACAGGCCTTCAAATTATATAAAAAGGCTACAATTGTTATATTAAGTTCAATTTAAACAATTCCAAAGAAAATAAAACAGAACAGGGGAACTGTTGAGGCTTCGCAACCCCCTCTTTATTAAGCGACCCCTTGTTGACCAATTCTGTGTTATGCCACTAATAATGTCAATCAATACAATTATTATTCTAATGAACCATTGCTGTCTTATTGGTTTATTGTTTATTTTGTTTATTTAGTTATGAATTATATAATTTTAATTAGTCTGCCTATCAAGGGACATCTTGATTGGTTGATAAATTATCTGTTTCTATTTAAGGTAGCACTACAGTCTAACAATGATCTTTTAGTGAAATATTTTTTATCACATTATTTTAAAGTATTTATCAATCTGAACATTTTGTTAAAATCCCAGAGTCATTATGATGTCACAGCAGGGTGTAAATTAATAATTAAAAACTGTAAATAAAAGCATATGGTAAATACTCTATATGTAAGAGCTTATGGGAGGAGCTTATCTTTCAATCATCTGTTGATACCAAGTGTCCAGCTTTTAATCTCTGACCACAATAAAAATAATGTGGTTGTATCTTATTATGTTGCAATCAAACTTAATTTATATAACTATGGAGGTAAACAAAGAAAATATAAAAGAGAAAAAATATGTATGGAAAAATATTTAAAGTGAAGGCATATATATATATAGATAAATATAATTGTGTAAGAGTAGCTTTTGAAAGCCTCTGACAAATGTTCTTTCTAAGGCAAGCAGAATTTGTATTTGAATATGAAACCAGCAACAGTGACTTTCACACCAAGCCTTATTCTAGAAAAAAACACCTGGATAATAGTGCTTTTTTTTAACTTCAGTACGTACAATATATTTCTTTTTAAATATGAATGATAATCATTATTTCATTATAGTGAGAATTATGTTAAATATTGATTATATGCAGCTGATCACTCTTCAAAGTCTCCTATCTTAAACTTTCTGGACGGGATAGCTTTGACCATATTTAATTACTACATTACAGATGTTGGTCAAATCTGTGACGTCAAACTCCCGCCAAATGCTAAATTAGTGTTGTTTAAGAATGGACAGTGCACAAATCATGCAAAATTTACACAGTTTAAGTGAATAAAAGACACAAACTGTGTGGTTCTATTGATAAAATAATGGTGTCAGAACACTCCTGGTGTGTTCCCAGGGGAATGTTTATATTTATGTTGCATTTAAAGAGGTTCAAAGTGGGATATTCAGTTTTCATGTGATTTTTTAAAACAATTTTTCAAGAGAATTGCCATCAAAAAATGAAAATAGAATGTTTGATGGGTACCCCTTTTGGTTAGGCTTTGATAAATGTGATTGATTAAAGTATTTTCTACAAAACCATGTCCCAGTTTTTTCATAATTTGTTTCTTAATGAATTTATAGGTCTCCAAACGGGTGATGTGTGAAATGAGGTTTGGCATCCAGCAGTTAAATTAATATATCTTCTAATTGGAGGCATACATCAAAAATATGAGACACTGTTCTGTAGCTTGTGTATGGTCAACTAAAGGGATGAAACCAATTTTTTACTACCATTTGACCTGAATGTTGGGAGAGCATTTTTTTGGCAGTTAATGAGCTATATTTTTCAATTGATTATACTAAAAATAATTTTAAGATTTAAAAAATCCATTGAGCAGTTTTGGGGAAATTAATCTTTTAAGACTGTTGGTTGGAGCCAGAAAAGTCAGACTGTAGTGCTACCTTAAACATGGATCTTTACATCCTTTCATTGTTAAGAATCAGTCCGGTCTGTAATGCGCATGCGTCACTGGCCATTTGTTTTATCGATGGAATTTAGCGAGGAATATATTTCAATTGAAGATTTAAACATTTTCTTATATAAAACCGTTTTTACCTTTAACATTTTTGTTTACTTCTGTATTTCAGCAAACAGGTGATATTTTTTTATTTTTATTTCGGATTTGTCTTTCTTACTTCCAATTTTACTTTTGTAACAGTCATTATTAAGGCGGTAAAAAGTAAGGTCACATCTTTAAAGGGGCATTAGCTGTCAAATTCATGTTCACCGATTTGACTCAAATTCTCATATTTGATTTATAACACACTAAAACTTATATCTAAATTACTAACAGTCTAAAACAAACAATTAACAATGCATGGTCTCGATAATATGTATCAACATTTCGTGTGTATTTTTGTCTAGACGTCATCTAATTAACCATCTAGGTGACCTACGAAGACTGCCGACGGTAAAACCAGATATAAACATACATATAAATATAAATAGATAGCGACCACATGCAATTGGATATTTCTAGGTCTGTTTGATTTCATATTGTAGGTTAAAATGTATGTTTATCATCGTTTTTACCGGTATAAGAAAGATTTTTTTGTGGATCGAATCAGTCACCAAATAGTTCATCCTTGTTTCACTTTCAATGTTGACATTCTTTTCCTTTTAATAGCTGAATACATGCGTAACCCATCTCGAACTAAGGGGTTAAATTGAAGGTCACATGAATACGAATTAAATGAGGTAGAATTATTCACTTGCAAGTGAATAATTCATCAGCGATGTTTCATATATTATTTTGACAAAATTGAACAAAATTGGCTGCTAAAAGCGAATTATTAATTCACTATTTCACTTTCATTAATGATTGAACAATAATCTCGTAGCTAATGCCCCTTTAAAAAAA